ACTGTGGGCACCTCCAAAACTATTATTAAAACCACACAATATGGAGCAAGTGACATCAAATTAGAATCTTCAAAGAAAAACTTGGAAGTTTCCTTTTGGTTGACTTTTGGAATTCACTACAAACACTGCATTCCATGGTCCTTCAACTTGGTTCCCGGGACAAATGCCTGGCTTGCCCATCATCCCAAACAGCCCCAATCTTGGATCTCTGATTCAACCTCTTAAGGACCTCCTTCCGGACTTCAGCTTTTCACCTTTAGTCCTGATAGTTGCTTCAAGTCCAGTTTCCTGAGCCTAGAAAGTCTTCCAAAGAACTCTGATAATGGCACCAAGCAGAGAAGGGCCTGGGAATGTCTATGACTGGGAGATTTAATGATTCCTAATGCAATCATGGAGGGTATTTAAAAAATAAAATAAAATAATCTTTGGGGCTGACGGAATTTGGCCTATATGACTGAAGGGGCAGTGCTCTTCCCATTTTAATATGGAATGCAATGTTTTTAAATGTTTAATACGTTTTATTTTTATTTTATTTTTTGGATTTGTATGTTTTAAGGCATTAAATAATTGCCTCTTAAGTAAACCGCCTTGAGTCCCCTTCGGGGTAGAGAAAGACATGGCATAAACAGAGTAAATAAATCTATATAAAGAAAAATATAATGTTCCATTTGTAGGATTAACATAACTCAAATACCACTGGATGAATTGACACCAAATTTGGACACAATATACCTATCAGGCGAATGAGTGACCATCACTCATAAAAACTAATAAACACACCAGAAGGGACTTAAAAGTCAAAAAAAGCAAAAATAAGCTACAGCACATGCGCAAAAACAACTCCCCCGGCAAACAAAGCACACAATAGCATATGCACACTCTCTTCCAGACTACAGCTCCCAGCATTCCTCCCCCTTTAGGAGAGGAAGATGATCCAAATTCACTGCTTCCAAGCTCCAAGTTTGCTTCTCCTTGGATTTCTTTGAAAGCATCCCAATCCCTACATATTTCCAATTTCCTATTCCTGGACTCCAACTCCCAGCAATCCTCCAGATAGATAGATTAGATAGAGTTAGATAAGTAGGTGGATAAATAGATCGATCAGGAGGACTGCTGGGAGTTGCAGTCCAAGAATAGCAAAGGAAGAAAGGGGAGAAAGAGCAAGGGAAAGAAAAGGTGGGGAGAGGAAGAGAAGAAGAAGAAGAGGAGAGAAAGAAAGAAAAAGGGGAAGGAAAGAAGGAAAGAGGGAGGGAAGGAAGGAAGGAGAAAAAGAAAGAAGAGAAAGAGGGAGGGAAGGTTGGCCACAGCAATGTGTGGCGAGTACAGCTAGTAATAAATAAATATTTATTTGTATTGTCGAAGGTTTTCATGGCCGGAATCACTGGATTGTTGTGAATTTTCTGGGCTGTATGGCCATGTTCCAGAAGCATTCCCTCCTGACGTTTCGCCTACATCTATGGCAGGCATCCTCAGAGGTTGTGAGGTCTGTTAGAAACTAGGAAAATGGAGTATATATATGTGGAATGTCCAGAGTGGAAGAAAGAACTCTTATCTGTTTGAGCTAGGTGTGAATGTTTCAGTTGGCCACCTTGATTCAAAATTAATGGCCTAGCAGTTTCAAGGTCTGGCTTCTTTCTGCCTGGGGGAATCATAGGGACTATCAAACAGAGTGCCCAAACACGAATCAAGGAACATGAAAGGCACTACTTCAAACAGAGAAGTCAGCCATAGAAGGACTTGATGAACCAACCTGGACATAGCATATTATTTGAGAACACAGAAATGCTGGACATCTCTAACAACTGACATGTCAGATTACAAAGAGAAGCCATTGAAATCCACAAGCATGTGGGCAATTTCAACAGAATGGAGGAAACCATGAACATGAACAAAGTCTGGCTATCAGTGTTAAAAAAAACCTCTAAAATCATAACAGTAAATAAAAAGGAAATAGGAGCCCCCAGTAGTGCAGTGGGTTAAACCACTGAGCTGCTGAACTTGCTGACCGAAAGGTCGCCGGTTCAAATCCGGGGAGCGGGGTGAGCTACTGCTGTTAGGCCCTGTTTCTGTCAACCTAGCACTTCGAAAACGTGCAAATGTGAGATCAATAGGTACCGCTTCAGCAGGAAGGCAACGGCGCTCCATGCAGTCATGCCAGAAACATGACCTTGGAGGCGTCTACAGACAATACCGGATCTTTGACTTAGAAATGGAGATGAGCACCAATCCTCAGACTGGACTTAATGGCTGAGGAAAACCTTTATCTTTACTAAATAAAGAACAACACTCAAAAACAGGGAAATTCCAAGCAAGAAACAATCATGGACAACAAAGGATTTCCCCAGGCAGTAAAAAGCCAGACATTGAAACTGCTAGGCCATTCAGTGCTAATCAAGGTGGCCAATTGCAACATTAACACCTACCTCAAACAGACAGGAGTTCTTTCTCCCACACTGGACATTCCACAGATATATAAACTCCGTTTTCCTAGTTTCCAACAGACCTCACAACCTCTGAGGATGCCTGCCATAGATGCGGGCAAAAAGTCAGGAGAATGCTCCTAGAACATGGCCATACAGACCGGAAAACTCACAACCCAAATCTTTCTTTCATTTTAAGACGCCATGGATTGTAAGGGCACTTCCACACTGCCATATAACCCAGAACATCAAGGCAGAAAATCCCACAATATCTGCTTTGAACTGGGATACCTGAGCCCACACTGCCATATATTCCAGTTCAAAATAGAAAATGTGGGATTTTGTTTATTTATTTATTTGAAAATTTATATTCCGCCCTTCACACTCCGCATGGGACTCAGGGCGGAGCACAACATATATACGGCAAACAGTCAATGCCAGGACAGAAAACCATAAATATATACAAACATTAAAATCACTTATATTCACATTAAAAATTGCTTAAAACCCATCTCAGGACACCATTTTACCTCATTGCACTGCCCCAAAGTCTTGGTCCCACAGCCAGGTCTTCACCATCCTTCTGAAGGACAGGAGGGAGGGGGGTGATCTAATATTGCCAGGAAGGGAGTTCCATAACCAGGGGGGCAATCACTGTAAAGGCCCTGTCGCTCGTCCCCGCCAAATGTGCCTGTGATGGTGGTGGGACCGAGAGCAGGACCTTCCCAGAAGATCTTAGTTTCTGCAGTGGTTCGTAAAGTGAGGTGCATTCGGACAGGTAAACTGAGTCGGGGCCATTTAGGGCTTTATAAGCCAAAGCCAGCACTTTGAATCATGCCTGGAAGCAAACAGGCAGCCAGTGGATCTGACATAACATGGGAATTGTGTGCATCCTGTAAGACTATTTGAAGCTTCCAAACCGTCTTCAAAGGCAACCCCATGTAGAGCGCGTTGCAGTAGTCTATCCTGGATGTACCAAGAGCGTGGACCACCGTGGCCAAGTCTGACTTCCCAAGGTACTTTGGTGTGGAAGGGGCCCCAGATAACCCAGTTCAAAGCAGATATTGTGGTGTTTTCTGCCTTAATATCCTGGGATATAGGGCTGTGCGGAAGGACCCTGAATATGGACTCAGATAACTGAATTCAAAGCAGATATTATGGGGTTTTCTGCCTTTATATTCTGGAATATAGGGCGGTGTAGAAGGGTCCTGAGTGTGGACCCAGACAACCAAGTTCAAAGCAGATATCATGGAGTTTTCTGCCTTGATATTCTGAGATATAGGGCTGTCTGGAAGGGCACTGAGTGTGGACTCGGATAACCCAGTTCAAAGCAGATATTGTGGAATTTTCTGCCTTGATATTCTGGGATATAGGGCTGTCTGGAAGGGCCTTGAGTATGGACTTGGATAACCCAGTTCAAAGTAGATTTTCTACCTTGATATTCTGGGATATAGGGCTGTCTGGAAGGGCACTGAGTGTGGACTCGGATAACCCAGTTCAAAGCAGATATTGTGGGGTTTTCTGCCTTGATATTCTGGGATATAGGGCTGTCTGGAAGGGCACTGAGTGTGGACTCGGATAACTCAGTTCAAAGCAGATATCGTGGGGTTTTCTGCCTTAATATTCTGGGATATAGGGCTGTGTGGAAGGGACCTGAGGTGGACTCAGATAACTCAGTTCAAAGCAGATATTGTGGGATTTTCTGCCTTAATATTCTGGGATATAGGGCGGTGTAGAAGGGACCTTAGTGTGGACTCAGATAACCCAGTTCAAAGCAGATATTGTGGGCTTTTCTGCCGTAACATCCTGGGATATAGGGCTGTGCGGAAGGATCCTGACTGTGGACTCAGATAACTGAATTCAAAGCAGATATTATGGGGTTTACTGCCTTGGTATTCTGGAATATAGGGCTGTGTGGAAGGGCCCTGAGTGTGGACTCAGATAACCCAGTTCAAAGCCTTGATATTCTGGGTTATAGGGCTGTCTGGAAGGGCCCTGAGTGTGGACGGACAACCCAGTTCAAAGCAGATATTGTGGGGGGGTTTGCCTCGATATTTTAGGATATAGGGCTGTCTGGAAGGGCCCTGAGTGTGGACTCAGATAACTCAGTTCAAAGCAGATATTGTGGGGTTTTCTGCCTTGATATTCTGGGATATAGGGCTGTGTGGAAGGGCCCTCTGAGGCTGCACCCCAAAAGCTGGGAGGATCAATAGTGGGTGGGAGCAGGGCTGCCTTGAAGAAATCCCCTGGCCCTGGATTGGGAAGGTAACTATGTATCTACACACAATGCAAGGCCACCTAGGTAAACTGAGCCTCCTAAGAGGATCTAGGGCCAGGGCGCTACAGTAACCCATTCACTTCCTTTACCACCAGCAATCACATTAGGAGTGGGGCCAGCTTTTGTTTATGGGGAATCTGGGTTTCGATGGTAACAGGTGCATGTAAGGGAGAAAGAAGAGAGGGAGGGAGGGAGGGAGGGAGGGAGGGAGGGAGGGAGGGAGGGAGGGAGGGGGGTCGCCTTGATGCTCAAGCTAAAGCCCCCCGCCCCAAATAAATGAAAGACCAAGGCCCCAGACTCACCACCATGGCGCCGCGCTCCTGATGCACTGGCCAGCAACTGGAGCCAGGCACTGGCCCAGGAAAAGAGGGAGGGAGGGAGGGAGGGAAAGAGGGAGGGAGACAATGAGAGGGAGAGAGCACGCAGAGCCCCCTCCCCTTGCCTCCGCCCCAGCCTGGCCCCTCCCCTCCCCTCCCTTCCCTCCCCTTTTGCCTGTCTGTGCCTGGGAAGAGCCTGAGCCAGGCAAGAGGGAGCCGGCGAGAAGGGGGAATCTTATTGTCCAAGGCTCTCACAACTGCCATGTCAAGCTATGCAGAGAAGCCATTGAAAGCCACAAGCATGTGGACAATGTCAACAGAAAGGAAGAAACTATGAAAATGAACACAATCTGGCTACCGGTATTTTTTAACAAATCTGAAATTATAACAGTAAATAAAGAACAGCACTCAAACACAAGGGAAATCCAGACAAGAAACAATCAAGGACAGCTAATCACCTCTCAACAAAGGATTGCCCCAGGCGGTAACAAGCCACACCTAAAAACTGTCAGGCCATCAAATGTTAATCAAGGTGGCCAATTGAAACATTCACACCTAGGTTGTTGTAGATTTATTGGACTATATGGCCATGTTCTCGAAGCATTCTCTCCTGACATTTCGCCTGTATCTACGGCAGGCATCCTCAGAGGCTGTGAGGTCTCAGACATTCATACCTAGCTTGTTATTGGGCTATATGGTCATGTTCTCGAAGCATTCTCTCCTGACGTTTCGCTTGCATCTATGCCAGGCATCCTCGGAGGTTGTGAGATCTTAGACATTCATACCTGACGTTTCGCCTGCATCAATGGCAGGCATCCACAGAGGTTGTGAGGTCTCAGACATTCATACCTAGGTTGTTGTAGGTTTATCGGGCTATATGACCATGTTCTAGAAGCATTCTCTCCTGACGTTTCACCTGCATCTATGGCAGGCATCCTCAGAGGTTGTGAGGTCTCAGACATTAATATCTAGGTTGTTGTAGGTTTATCTGGCTATATGACCATGTTCTAGAAGCATTCTCTCCTGACATTTCGCCTGTATCTACGGCAGGCATCCTCAGAGGCTGTGAGGTCTCAGACATTCATGCCTAAGCTGCACCTATGGCAGGCATCCTCAGAGATTGTGAAATCTCAGACCTCACAACCTCTGAGGATGCCTGTCATCAGGCCCGTAGCCAGGATTTCATTTCGGGGGGGGGGGGGAATTTTTCAGGGGGGGTTGGGGGGGCTGAGTTTTGGGGGGGGCTGAGTCTGAGTGAAAGAGGGTCTACCCTAGCAAACCTTTTGTATCATTACCCCAATACCCCCATGCATATGGGATATATTGAGTATGGTGATCAGATCATGATATGAATAAACATAACAGTTTAAATAATGCACCAGTAAGGCCTTTTCGCGAACCACCATGAGAATTTGGGGGGGGGGCTGAAGCCCCTCAAGCCCCCCCCCCACGGCTACATGCCTGCCTGTCATAGATGCAGGCAAAACGCCAGGAGAGAATGCTTCTGGAACATGGCCATATAGCCCGAAAAACCTACAACAACCCTGTGATTCCGGCCATGAAAACCTTCGACAATACATATCCACACCTAGCTCCACAAGACAAGAGTTCTTTCTCCCACCCTGGACATTCCACAGATAGATAAACCCCATTTTCCTAGTTTCCAACATACTTCACAACCTTTGAGGATGCCTGCCATAGATGTAGGCGAAACGTCAGGAGAGAATGCTTCTAGATCATGGCCATATAGCCCCAAAAACCTACAACAACCCAGGGGAAATCTTGCTTGGTTGGTTGGCTGCCGCCTCTTTTGTGGCCACTGCTCCAACCCCTCCTCACTCTCTTCCTGCTGGAAAAGGGGATCAAAATAATGCACCGATCAGGGAAACATAGCCCCAGTTCGCACTCAAAAGGAAGAGCTTTCTCCTTTCTGGGTGGCGAAACAAAAGGGGCAGCTGGCTGGAGCGCACAAAGGGGCTTCTGTGTGCTCAGCTCTGCTTCTAGAGAGGGAAGCAAGGGAAGCGTTTTCTTATTCTAATCGGGCTTTTTCCGCCTCTCCTCCCTCCTTAACTGCCTCGGTCAAGGGCACAGGAGCCACCCAACACATCCCTCCCCCCTCCTGCAATGTTTGCCCAGGTGTGTTGTGTGTTTCCTGCACATCTTCCCTCTTCCAAGGCTTTGGAGCCAAGGAAGAGGAAAGCAATCCTTCTAGTTGTAGGCCCAACCGGCAAGAGGACCTCGTGTTTTTTCCACCTCCGCCCCCAGTCTTCTTTCACTGACAACCCACTAGCAGAACCAGATGGTTTACTACAGAGTAGTACTAGCAATAGTAGCAAGGCATGCTGTGCTGGCTGTATATAAGGGATGGATGATCAGAGACCAACATCCTGATTGAAATGGGCACTGCTGTGCTTCTTTGGGTTTTCCAGGCTTGTCTATAACAGGCATGGGCAAACTTGGGTCCCCCAGGTATGTTGGACTTTAACTCCGGCTTAAGCGGCTGGGGGGGGGAAAGGAAAGGGCCTGAGGCTGTTCGGAATTGTGGGAGTTGAAGTCCAAAACACCTGGAGGGAGGGCCAAAATTTGCCCAAACCTGGTCTATACTGACCAAAAAAATTCTGTTTGGCAACAACAACAACAAAAACAACACTTCATCTATATTCCGCCCTATCTCTCCAAGGGGACTCGGGGCAGATCACAGTACACATACACGACAAATATTCAATGCCATTTTGGACAGACAATACAGAGACAAACAGAAGAGAATGGAGGTATGTTGTGTTGAAGTCTAGCTTGTTGGTGGCACTACATTTTCCCAGTCAACAGAGCCCCCAGTGGTGCAAACCCATGTACTGGCAGAACTGAACACTGATAGAGCGAAGGCTCGAATCCAGGGAGAGAGCGGATAAGCTCCGTCAGCTCCAGCTCCCCATGCAGGGACATGAGAGAAGCCTCCCATAAGGATGGTAAAACATCAAAACATCTGGGCATCCCCTAGGCAACGACCTTGAAGACAGCCAATTCTCTCACACCAGAAGCGACTTGCAGTTTCTCAAGTCACTCCCGACACGAAAAAAAAGAACTGTCTTGTCACACATTTTCCCAACAAACTTGTCTCACTGCGAGGGGCTGCTTTACATTTCCAATCCTTTACATTATTTTCCAAGGCATGGCCAGTGTCCCCCCCCCCCCCCACACACACACCCCACCACCACCTATCATGCATGAATATATGTATTTTTTTTGTTAAGTGGGAGTGTGTAAATGTTGTTCTTGTTTATTCGATCAGTCCCTTCCAACTCTTTGTGACCTCATGGACCAGCCCACGCCAGAGCTCCCTGTCAGCCGTGGCCACCCCCAGCTCCTTCAAGGTCAAGTCAGTCACTTAAAGGATACCATCCATCCACTTTGCCCTTAGTCGGCCCCTCTTCCTTTTTCCTTCCATTTTCCCCAGCGTCGTTATCTTCTCCAGGCTTTCCTGTCTTCTCATTATGTGCCCAAAGTATTTCATCCTTGCCTCTAATATCCTTCCCTCCAGTGAGCAGTCGTGCTTTATTTCTTGAAGTATTGACTGGTTGGATCTTCTCGCGATCCAAGGCACTCTCAGAATGTTCCTCCAACACTACAGTTCAAAAGAGTATATCTTATTTCGCTCAGCCTTCCTTATGGTCGAGCTCTTACATCCATAGGTTGCTATGGGGAATACCACTGCTTTAATTATGTGGATCTTTGTTGCCAGTGTGATGTCTCTACTCTTCACTATTTTATCAAGATCTGTCATTGCTCTCCTACCAAGAGTAAACATCATCTGATTTCCTGGCTGCAGTCTGCATCTGCAGTTACCTTCACGTCTAAAAATACAAAGTCTGTCACTGCCCCCACATTTTTCCCCTCTATTTGCCCATTTTCCCTCTATTTCCCCCTATTTGCCAGTTTTTCCCTCTATTTGCCAGTTTCCCTCTATTTGCCACCATCTTGGTTTTTTTATATTTAACTGCAACCCAGCTTTTACACTTTCTTCTTTCACGTTGGTTAGAAGGCTTCTCCGCTCCTCCTCGCTTTCAACCATCAAAGTGCTATCATCTGCATATCTAAGATTGTTAATGTTTCATCCAATAATTTTAACTCCAGCCTTGGATTCATCAAGCCCTGCACATTGCATGATGTGTTCTGCATACAAGTTGAATAGGTCAAGTGAGAGTATACAGTTTTGCAGTACTCCTTTCCCAATCTTGAACCGGTCTGTTGTTCCGTCGTCTGGTCTTACTGTTGCTATTTGGTCATTATATAGAGTGTGTAAATACTATTATTATTATTATTATTATTATTATTATACATCACACAGTCCTAGACACTTGGGAAGTGTTCGACTTGTGATTTTGTGATACGAAATCCAGCATATATCTCTCGTTTGCTGTTACATACTGTGTTTTTGTGTCAGTAAAATAATAATAATAATAATAATAATAATAATAATAATAATAATAATAATGCTCCTGGTGGCTCGAAGCAGGATACAACAGGATTAAAAGAGGACAATAAAACACAAACACTATTAAAATACATGTAACACAAGACCACATCAAGAAAATATAGGTTACAATTCACAGGTAAGAATCGATTGGGGAGGCCTGCCAGAAGAGAGAGCTCTTCAGTTGCATCTTGAACTCTGATTTAGCTGTCAAATCTCAAGTACTTGCACATTAACATTCAACCCTGGGATGAAACGCTTCCTAGCAGGACTGATGACAGTTCTGCCCACCACTAAGTCTTCCTCTCAAATTCACAGCAAAGCAATGCTGCCTGGAGGGCCAGCCACACATCTTTTAAAAAAAAAAATCTGGATTTTATGTTTTTTAAAAAATCAGATTAAAGCCCAAAGATCAGCATTGCAAACAAGTTGTCAAGAAAATGGTGTGTCATGAAAACAAGCCCTTTGTATCGCTTCAGGAACTGGGAAATGGATGCCAGCTTCAACCTCAGTGGTAAACACCAGGGACACAAACATGAAAGCCAAAAAGAGCATCTCATTTGGAAGTAGTCAAGAGCTCCTTTTTAATATTCATGGAGGAATGATTTATATAACTGGCACTGATCCTCCATCACAAATGTGACAAACCAAGGTAACACTGACACCATGAGGGGGGCTTTGTTATATAACGGCAAGTTTTATTAATAGATGCTGTCACAGCTGCATTGTCTATTCCCAACTCACCCAGGTAGCTAACATCGAGGTCAGGCCAAGCTATTGCTGACACAGAACCAGGTCCAGACAGCATATCCTTTGGGAGTGATTACTCATCACCCACCTCTGTGACTTGTGTAAATGTGTTCATACAAAGCAGGAAGGAACCAGAGTGCCAAAGGGTGTTTATGTGAATGGGGATTCCTGGGATTCGCTATGCCTGCTTCCTCATGTAGTGGTGTTGCTGGGGTGTGTGAGGGTGCAAACCATGTCAGGTGGGATCATCAGAGGGGCTGAGAAACAAAACGGTTATCAATTTTTGTTTCATCAAAAAATATTATTATTTTAATAAAATATATCTATCATACTTTGGCAATCTCAGATATTACTCGTTAGAAAAGATAGATAATACTTGGAAAAGAGGAGGGCAGTAGGAAGGCCACATTCCAGATGGACAGACTCATTCAGAGAAGCCATGGCCTCTAGTCTACAAGACCAAAGCAGGGCTGTTGAGGATCAGGTGACTTAAAGAGGTCTCTCATTCATGAGATCACCATAAATGGAAGTCGACTTTAACACTGCTTTCATCCCATTTTTCCACTCTAAAGATAGCTATCACAAATGTAGAACACATTTCCTTTGTGTTGTTGAAGGCTTTCATGGCCGGAATCACTGGGTTGCTGTGAGTTTTCTGGGCTGTATGGCCATGTTCCAGAAGCATTCTCTCCTGACGTTTCACCCACATCTATGGCAGGCATCCTCAGAGGTTGTGAGGTCTGTTGGAAACTAGGCAACTGAGGTTTATATATCTGTGGAATGTCCAGGGTGGGAGAAATAACTCTTGTCTGCTTGGGGCAGATAACTTTAATCCAGTTGATTATATAAATGTTTCATCAAGGTGCTGTTTGTGTCTGACATCTCCCACAATTATTTATTTATTTATTTATTTATTTATTTATTTATTTATTTATTTACAGTTCTTATATTCCGCCCTTCTCACCCCGCAGGGGACTCAGGGCGGATTACAGTAAACACATATATGGCAAACATTCAATGCCAGTTTGACAAACAACATTTAACAGACAAAGGCTATTTAACTTTTTTTTTTTTTCTGGCCGCCAGGGGAGCTGCTGCTTTTCATCGTCCATCAACGACACCGATGAAGTTCTTCCGCATTCCACATTCCCCGGAGTCTTCTTTCTTTATGGCCTCATAAATTAGTTAAATTTAGCCTCCCACACAAGGTGGTCCCTTATTTTCCTACTTGACAGATGCAACTGTCTTTCGGAGGTGTTAGCTGGCCCTGATTGTTTCTTGTCTGGAATTCCCCTGTTTTTGAGTGTTGTTCTTTGTTTACTGTCCTGATTTTAGAGTTGTTAAATACTGGTAGCCACATTTTGTTCATTTTCATGCTTTCCTCCTTTCTGTTGAAATTGTTCACATGCTTCTGTATTTCAATAGTTTCTCTGTGTAGTCTGACATGGGCAAGTTCTTTCTTCCACCCTGGACATTCCACAGATAAATAAACCTCACTTGCCTTGTTTCCAACAGACCTCACAACTTCTGAGGATGCCTGCGATAGGTGTGGGTGAAACATCAGGAGAGAATGCTTCTTCAACATGGCCATACAGCCTGGAAAACTCACAGCAACCGACATTTCCTTTGTCTCTTTGAGCCAGATCATTGCCATTGCTTGTTACTAAGTCAAATCCCTTTGGATTCTCTTCATCACCATTTCATTGGACAGAAAATGTTGGGTACATTATGTTGTCTTACTGCAAACCGTCACACATCATTTTCATCTAAAATGCGCTTTATTTTAAATTCATTACCAAAATATACAATGAAACCATGGAAACAGAGCATCATTTCCAGAGACAAGTCTACAAATCACTTTACATTTGTCAATGACTACTATGAATATATCTGCTTGTGAAGTGCAGGTGGCACAACCAACCTAGAAAAGAATGAGCCCTCCGAGGTGTCACTGCCACCAGAATCCCATAGGAAACTTCTCAAGACACAGAGAAGAGTACACAGGAGCTTGTTATCATCCAGAAAAGTCCTGCTCAGAATCCTGTCCTTCAAGCCGAGCCATCCGAGCGTCCACAGTTCTGCAAAGAAACAGCACATATATATGCTACCTTCAAAGGCCAGAGGACACCAAACAAATACACACCACAGTGGTTCTCAACCTTCCTAATGACGTGATCCCTTAATACAATTTCTCATGTTGTGGTGACCCCCAACCATAACATTATTTTTGTTGCTACTTCATAATTGTAATTTTGCTACTGTTCTGAATCGTTGTGTAAATATCTGATATGCAGGATGTATTTTTATTCACTGGACAAAATTTGGCATAAATACCTGATACGCCCAAATTTGAATACAGGTGGGATTGGGGAGGATTGATTTTGACATTTGGGAGTTGTAGTTGCTGGGATTTATAGTTAACGTACAATCGAAGAGCATTCTGTACTCCACCAAGGATGGAATTGAACCAAACTTGGTACACAGAACTCCCCTGACCAACAGAAAATATTGGAAGGATTTGGTGGGCATTGACCTTGTGTTTTGGAGTTGTAGTTCACCTACATCCAGAGAGCACTGTGGATGCAAACAATGAAGGATCTAGATCAGGAGTCTTCAAACTAAGGCCCGGGGGCCGGATACGGCCCTCCAAGGTCATTTACCCGGCCCTCACTCAGGGTCAACCTAAGTCTAAAACGACTTGAAAGCACACAACAACAACAATCCTATCTCATCAGCCAAAAGCAACACTTCCCATTGAAATAATAATATGTTTATATTTGTTAAAATTGTTCTTCATTTTAATTATTGTATTGTTTTAAGTGGGTTTTTTTTTTTGCAGTACAAATCAGATATGTGCAGTGTGCATAGGAATTCATTTTTTTTTCAGATTATAATCTGGCCCTCCAAAAGTTTGAGGGACTGTGATCTGGCCCTTTGTTTAAAAAGTTTGAGGACCCCTGATCAAGATCAAATTTGGCATGAATACTCCACATGCCCAAATGTGAACACTGGTGGATTTTGGAGAAAATAGACCCCGACATTTGGGAGTTTGGTTGCTGTGATTTATAGTTCACCTACAATCAAAGAGCATTCTGAACCCCACCAATGATACAATTGGACTAAACTTCCCACACAAAACCCCATGACCAACAGAAAATACTGTGTTTTGTGATGGTCTTTGGCGACTCCTCTGACATCCCCCTTGTGACCCCCGCAGGGGTCCTGACCCCCAGGTTGAGAAACGCTGGCATAGAGACATTGTCCAGCTTTTCTACAGCACTGAGTAATAAAGCCACTGCATGTATTGGAAAGTCCAGCACCAAAGTCATAGGGAGGAGAGAGGAGGGAGCAAGCTTGTTTTCTGCTGCCCTGGCGATTAGGATGTGGAACAATGGCTTCAAACTACAGGAAAGGAGATTCCACTTAAACATTAGGAACTTCCTAACTGTGAGAGAGAGCTGTTCAGCAGTGGATCTCTCTCCCCAGACTGTGGTGGAGGCTCCTTCTTTGGAGGCCCTTAAACAGAGGCTGGACGGCCATCTGTCGGGGGTGCTTTGAATGTTATTTTCCTGCTTCTTGGCAGGAGGTTGGACTGGATGGCCCAAGAGGTCTCTTCCAACTTTATGATTCAAAAACTTTTTCACATAATCTCTTGGGGACAAAACCTTGCGGGGAGAAAGGAGCAATATACAGAGCCCCTCGATGCTTTAGCAGGCACCAGGACAGATGGAACAGTCCGTCTGCCGATTCCAGGTATCCAGTATGTGTCAAAACTAAGAAAAAAGAACTGGGACCAACCAAGATAGACAGATTTCTTATTCCCAGCCTCTTCAAGGCAATATTTCTCTGCAGCAGAGAAGCATTTAGAAACAGGAGCAATCCACATGAAAATAACTTTGTACCAGTTCAGACAGGATAGTTACCCACCTCAGCTGACTGCGAAGTACTTCCCTTTGGCCCCTTAATACCTGTAAGAGGGGATCATCCTCAAACTCTGTGCCATCAGAATCTGCCAAACAAAAGTGTTTCACTTAATGACTCATGCGCTCCAAAACCACATGCATTTCAGTAGATACCTTCCTATCAATGCCAGAACACTGCGGTTCCCAGAAATCAGTCATTGCTTTAAACTAAAGATTCCATTGCTTATTTCAATCTCTTCTCCTACATGCTCCCTAGCCTTTTCCATACTTTTTATTATTATTACTATTATTTGTTCAATGTTTGCAATTTTCTCAAACATTGAATACACACACACAGACGGGAATTAATTAAAAGGTCTTGACATTAATGATTAATAAAGATAATGATGTAAAAGGTAAAGGTTGTCCCCTGACATTAAGTCCAGTCATGTCTGACTCTGGGGTGTGGTGCTCATCTCCATTTCTAAGCCGAAGAGCCAGCATTGTCCATAGACACCTCCAAGGTCATGTGGCCGGCATGACTGCATGGAGCACCATTAATAATAGTTGTAGTAATAAAGGAGCCACCTGGTGGTGCAGCAGGTGAAACCGCTGAGCTGCTAGTCTTGCTGACCAAAAGGTCGGCAGTTTGAATCCTGGGAACAGGGTGAGCTCCCGCTGTTAGCCCAGCTTCTGCCAACCTAGCCGTTCGAAGACATACAAATGTGAGATCAATAGGTACCAATTCTGCAGGAAGGTAATGGCACTCCATGCAATAATGCTGGCCACATGACCTTAGAAGTATCTACGGACAACGCCGGCTCTACGGATTAGAAATGGAGATGAGCACCACCCCCTAGAGTGAGACACGACTAGGTTTAATGTCCAGGGAAACCTTTACTTTACTAAATTAGTTTAAAACTTTCCCCCTCCAAGGTATGCTTCACTTATAGTTCTAATACATTCTTCTAATTACTTAAATATATTTAACTTTTTTTCTTCTCCCCACCCCCCCAAAAATCCTTTTTTCTCTTCTTTGTGCCACCTTTTTCCTGGACCAACTTATCTTATTCTTTATCTCCAGAATTTCATTGCTTCTGTTGCCAATTTGATCCCCTGTCCTTCAGTAAATACAAATTCTATAAACTTCCCCCATATTTTCCAAAAGTCTGTTTTTTCCCATATTCCCTTTCTAATTTAAATGCCACAAGTCAGTTTGTCATTAATCAATATCTTCCAAACCTCTCTATACCATTCTTCCAATTGGGTTTCACTTGTTTTTCCATTTTTATCAGTCTCACTATTAATAAATTGTTGGTTCTTTCACTTCTTGTGATGATATAGTATTGTCTTACAATGATAAAAATGCTGTTTCTGGTGTACTCTTTATTTCTATTTTTACTGTCGCTTTTATTTCTTTAAATACTAATTCTCATTTTTTTTGTATAAATTTACAACATATGTATATATGAGGCGATTTCTTGGCATCCTCTCCAGCATTGATTTGAATATTATCCATCTATCTGATTTAATCTAACTGGTGTTAAATATCATCTCCATATTATTTTATAATAATTTTCTTTAATTCTTATAGACATTTCTCAAAGTGGTCATATTTTATATATTTTTTTCCATTTCTGAATATTCAGGGTTCTTCCCGAGTCTAATTCCCATATTTCTCTGAGATGGTCTTGGTCCTGCTCATCTTCCAGTAATAGTTTATAAGTTTCACTTGGTTGTCTTGGTAGTATAACTTAATCTTTGGAGGCCTAAGCCCCCTTCTTGTTGTGGTTTATACCATTTGCTTTTATGTATTCTGGCTTTTTTATTTCAATTACAATAAACGTTTATCATATATTGCCAGTTTTTTTTATTCTTGATCTGAGATTTTTCTAGCCTCCTTTTTCACACATAGCCCACCAGATTTTCTCCCTTTTGGACCAACCCTATGCTCTCACTTTGACTAAATGCAAAGGACCTGTTACAAAGGGATCCTGTTACAAGAATAATCTTGTATATATCCTCTTCTCTGGGTTTGTGGAACATGTACCCAAGCAGGAAGTAAAGTTTACATGCTCCTTGACTGCAAATAACACCAGTCCTTGCCACCACAGCTAATGGGAAAGGTCGTAATCTGTTGTAATTCAACCCAGGATTGTGCCTGCTCCTAATGTCAATGAGGAACTGGATCATGGGATTTCTGGGCCTGCAAGCCAGCATGAGGTTCTAAGTCCTGAAACTGAGAAGCTGTGTTTCCAACAGCTAGTGAAAGCCATATTCCAGAGAGGGGCCCAGAAGCTGTTGAGAAACCTTTCTCTAAAAAAGCAAGGTCAGAGGCTGAAATGAGTTCAGAGGATGAAATCCCAGATGGAGAGGATAATGAGCTTTTAGATAGAAGATTTAGTTTTCGTAAACTCAGTGCAGCTCAACAGCATATTTGAAGGTCACAGCGCTTGTTGCAGAAAAAGCCGTTATCAGGCAGCCAGGGAAAACGGCATGATTTCATGTCTTTATTAGAGAGACCAGGGGGATTTTCCAGCCAGTTTCATCAACATTGGTGTTGAAGCAATAACTCTTGCCAAGTCCTAATTAAGCCTGCTAAGGGAATTCTAGTTCATGTCTCTGTTCATTCATGCGTCTTGATTTCAAGTTTGAAGGATTATTCCTGGATTTTTGTATTGGATTGTATGTTGCCCTGTGTTTCCTGGTTCTTTTGTATTCCTGTGTTGGAATACAAAAGTTATTTTGTACCACAGTGTTTGGATTGGACCACAATGTTTGGAGTGAGTTGGATGGTGTTTTCAACTCGGAGTACTGTCTTTTATATGTATTTTATAACTTATTTATTATGTATGTTGTTTTTAAAATGTTATTTATTGAAGTTTTTCTGTTGCTAGCCATTCTGACTCCCTCCACAGAGGTAGAGAAGAACAGGATATAAAAGTTCTAAATAATAATAATAACAATAATGCCCTGATGTTTTGGGTTTTTTAAACTACTCTTGTACCTTGCATCTTGTGGACTATTTCATACATTTGGACTTTGACTTGTTTACTATTTTTATTATTTATTTGTTTGCTTGCTTGTTTGTTTATTTATTTAAAGCATTTATATTCCGCCCTTCTCACCCTGAAGGGGACTCAGGGTGGAGCACAACATATAAACGGCAAACATTCAATGCCAAAACATACTAGACCATACACATACAAAAACATTAAAATCACTTATCTTGATGTTAAAATCCTCTAGTTAAAACTGTCTCAACAACCATATCAAATTTGGTTGGCATACTAAGGATTCCTATCACTGACTCATTGTACAGTCCCAAAGGCTTGGTCCCACAGCCACGTTTTTATCATCCTTCTAAATGACAATAGGGAGGGAGCTGACCTGATCTCATTAGGAAGGGAGTTCCATAGATGAACTGCTTTTTATATAATCTTAAATAAACTGCTTGATATTTTAACTTGGACTGGAGTGTGGTGGTTAAGTACAGAGGTGCTTCCTGCCCTGGAGTGGAACACAATCCAACAATATTTGGACACACATTCAGCACCCTGAACTAAAGTGAGGTACTTGTTATATATGAGCGAAAATGGAACAGACTGCACTCACATTTAAGGAGCATTGGATTCCAGGTATCTGTCATGCCTCCCACTATGTATACCACCTCCTACCTTCCGCTTGTTCCAGGAGCTGAGCAGCCATGTCCAGGAGCTCAAGGTGTGAGGATCTTGCAACACCATCTGGCATAGTCTCCTTTGGGCCTCTGTCTTTTAGACTCCTCTTTGGTCTGTCTCTGTGGAGAGCTGGAGATTCAGGTGAGGAGAAAAGTCTTTCAGCAACCACCTGGACAACAGCAGGGAAAGGAAATTCCTGTTAAATATACTCACACCTCTATAATAAATAATGTTGTTGTGTGAGGTAAAGGCATCAGGCTCAGACAATACTAGCAGAATTGACCTGAGAGCAAGCCAAGGCTCTCAACAAGGAGTGAGTGCAAGAATTTGTTGGGTCTCACCTTGTATGAATTGATAGCATACCCTTGTGAAGGTCACTAACGGCAGGGAACTGGACATGGCTGATCTGTGCACTAAAAGAGGCCAGAGAAGCTTCCAGTGACCATGAGGTTATTCAGAAAACAGCTTAAGCGCAACCATTCTACTGAATTTGTAGGGGTACTTTACCATTTGTTTTTAATCCTTTTAGATACAAGCAATATGTGGAATACTCCTCACATATGCTAATTGGAGAGAGCGCGCTCACAGTATTGGGGGGGGGGGGAATGCTGCACTAAATCAAGCATTTTTTTCAGAATTTGTGAAAGCCTTTCTTCTCATTTCCAAGCCTTTTAGCAGTACACGCATTAATTGAATATATTTGTTTTTGCAATCCTAAGAACCAGAAATGTGTTCTTCATTCGACTGAACTGCCTGAAAGTTAGTACACAAAAGTTATGTACTATACTGTGGTGTCAGCCATGCAGATATGTCCATACCTCTCCCAAGACGTGTTGAACTGACTGTTTTGCAGGGCTGACGGGTGGCTCTTTGAAGTCTGCGCCTAGTTTTGCTTGGTCTTTCTTGGCTCTGCATGGCTTTTGGTCACTTTTGGGTTTGCTGTGCACTCTCTCATCAGACTCAATTGTTCTTTGACCATGGCATAAAATGGCCTGCTTCAAATGCTTTGTGGTTCCTGCAGGCCTTAGTGGGGAAGAAGACTCCTGGTTTGCAGTGAAACAATCCTTTTGGGGGGTTGGTTTCTTCACTACTTGTTCTCGTTTGGGTGTAGGCTCCGTTTTGGGAGATAAGTCCATGTATGGAGGGACAGCTGTCTCTTGGGGAGTTCGTTTCTTCAATCCCTGCTCTCCAATGAAACCAGAACTCCCAGTTTCCACAATTCCATTCCTGAATGAAGTGGTTTCTCTGAGTTGCCTGACGCTTGTTTCCTTTCTCACAGGATCTGTGCAGGAGCAGAAATGGTATTCATTGAGGGCAGATCCCATGCTTGTTTGGGCTTCAGATATTGGCAATGTCTTTCTACTTTTGTCAGTCCAATCGCTGGGTTCTGGTAGTTTCACAGCTACATTTTCTACCTGCAGGGAACAATGAAAAAGGCCCAGATTGCATCAACCTACTGACATAGGATAATGAGTGGGCAATTTGAACAGTTAGGGTCTGCCTATATACCCTGCCTTGTGGAACAGTCTATTTCCACACAAAGACAAGAAAGGCACAAGCATATCCACCACAGAGCTCCTCCAAAGAGTACAAACCATCAGTTATATGGACACTTGTCACGTAACTCAACGAGCACCAATCTGAGCTGGGGTACATGCATACAATACCATCCCACAACCACCCCTATGGCCCTGTAAGAGCACACTCCAAATACTATCATCAAATATAACAAAGCCTCTGACTAACCTCTGGCCAAAATGGACTCTGACTTCACCAACCCATTATTCTCATTGCCACAGTGCTTTTGGAGGGTGCATGAAAGTTAAATTCATGTTATTTTTAAAGGTATTATTATTAATCATCATCATCATCTTTATTTCTAGACTGCCCTCTTTCCCCAGAGGGGAAAACACATAAAAACACATAAAAAGGCAAACATTTGATGCCTAGAAATAAGTACAAACACATCAAACTAATACAGGATAATGGATAATAACAGCAGAAAACTTACAACAAAGGAATTAAGTATCAAAATAAAATAAACAGAGAAACAAGCCACTAAGACATAAAAAACTGAAACATAAGTAGACATTACAATGTGCACCCTAAAATCAAATTGAGAGACATTACATTAAAAATGGCTGATACCGGTGCTTCATTTAAGATGCATCATAACAGCCATATAATACAAGTAGGTTAGCCAGAATTTAAAGTGCCCTAGTCCTCCTCCTGATTACTTCTGATTACTTGAAATACTTGTAAGCATTTAAACTATTTGAAGCAGACAGTGGAATGGCTGTTACATTACCTGTCAGAGATGTAGACATCGAAAAGATGTGGAAGACAATCAAGTCTCATTGTGTGGGAGAAGTTGCAACTACCTGAGTTTTTAAATTAATTTTTGCAGCTACCAACATAAGCTTTCACCCAATATTGTGTGTGCACACATGTCGGGGTTCATACAGTCAACTATGCTAGAAAATACTGTTTTGAGTATTGATACTATGACTAGCAAATACAGTAGAATCTCGCTTATCCAACATAAGCAGGCCGGCAGAATGTTGGATAAGCAAAAATGTTGGATAATAAGGACGGATTAAGGAAAAGCCTCTTAAACGTCAAATTACATTATGATTTAACAAATTGAGCACCAAAACATCGTGTTTTACAACAAATCGACAGAAAAAAGCAGTTCAATACACCTTAACTTTATTTAGTAATTACTGTATTTACGAATTTAGCAACAAAACATCACAATTTATTGAAATAGCTCTGGATCCGGGTGGGAGGCAGACTGCGTTGGACAATACAGAACATTTGATGAGCAAAGGCTGGATAAGCGAGACTCTACTGTACAAACTATCTGGGGTTTTTTTTCCAGATCTTTCCCTCTGCATGTGGGAATACATACAATTTACAATAGGATCAGTTGTCCATTTCATCAATCCCTAAAAAAAAATAAAGCTATGAGGAAGAAAACAATCAGCTTATGTCCACAGTTGCAAAGATGGAGTGGCCCAGAACAGTATATGCCATTTTTCTTCTATTTCACCCACTTGTTAAGATCAATTGCAGGAGCCTTTTTCTATATCCCATCCATGATGAAAGCGGAGTTGGTTGGGATAAAGTGATTGGAACTCTCAGCAGCTGCACCAGTATTCTAGAAGCATGTCTCTATTCCTGTCTTTAGTATCTTAATTTACACATCGAGATCACAATCAATTATCCATTTTAAATCCTTACCATGGTACCAGCAGATGCTAGTTGGCCAAAGCTCCTCCAAGCTACAGAGGGCATCACAGCAGCTGCCTTGCTTGCCTCTTCCATCTTCCGCCGCAGGCGCCACTGGAATAGGATGTCCTCTTCTGGTTTCTTGGAAGAGCGAGACTGAGATATTTGAGATAAATGGCAAGAGACAGCAGCAAGGTTACCTGGGGATACAGAAGAGCATTATTACACTGGCAACACACATTTTGATGCCTCAAATGTTAGTTTTGTTTTAGGATATATTTGGCCTGCTGATTCCAAAAATGGTAGCAGTTCCCCCCTATCAGCTCTGGGTTTTGAGATACATAACATATATTATATACTAGTTGCCATCTGCTTGCCCATTGATAACCATATCTAAGAGCTGACACAGTCGATACAATGCAATTTTCTGAATCAGCACCCCAAATAACCTCAGGAACAGGCCTAAAAACTAAGACACCAATAAAAAAATGTTGGTTGGGCTGTCTTATCATTGCCCTGACTACCAATCTGGTATACTGTTAAGACAAGGACAAGGTTCTTCCTCATGTTCAGATGAAATCTCCTTTCCTATAATTTGAACCTATTACTCCTGTTCAGGTCAAAAATCCTTTCTTATAATTTGAATGATATTTATTAAGTTTGTTGTATATGGTTTATGTATTGTGCTTTTTGTGTCATGTAATTTCAGCAGTTTTTAAACATTGTACACCTTTGGATCTCACCCACTCACCCATGGGAGAAAAGTGGGATATAAATAAATATATACTCTGAGTCCTAGTCTCCAGGGCATCAGAAACCAAGCCTGCTCCCCCTTCCTTATGACATCCTTTCAAATATTTAAACGTGGCTATCATGTCTCCTCTCAACCTTTTCATAGATTATTGTGGTGATAATCTCTAACAATTGTATATGCGACTCCTTTAAAAACACTCTGTTTCTGTCAATGTCTGTCTGTTGAGAGGAAAGGCCATTGATCCCAGGTCCTACCTTTGCACTGATTTGCTGCAAGATGAGGTGGGATGTGCTCAGCCAAGTCCACAACGGCATTTGTAATTGTAGATGGAGAGGTAGAGCCAAGTCCTTCAGAACTCACATGCCTGGAGTTTCCAGAGGAGGAAGTGCTGCATACAGAAATATGTATGGGAAAAGACAGCTTTTTAGGTAGATGTAGTGGCTAAGATGAGAGAATAGAGCTAGTCAGAGTTTGGAAAAGTTCCTTTTTTTATAAACTACTGTTCTCAGAATTCTCAACTAGCCTTGTCAGTGGCAAGGGAGATTCTAAGAGGTCTAGTCCAAAAGAAGGAGGTCCTCAAAGTTCTGTGTGAGGCTACATGATAATAAGTGAAATACAAGGAAGGCTGATACCTTTTCTGCAAGAGTTTGGCTGCTCTCATCTGAAGATTCACAGTTTCTGGGTCCAGTATGGAAGTGTCCTGAAAATCTCCTTGCTAAAACACACACATACAAAAGAAAGAATCACAGAGGAGAACTTTCTGTTAGGATACTAGTAAGAGAAAAGTTGTGCTTGCACAGCACTGGAATCAAGCAAGCTCATTCCCAGAACACTTGATAAAAAGATCTGACTAGATGAAGTTAAATTAAGATTCCTGAGAAATACTGTGGCCAATCTTATCCTTTCTTTGGCTACAGCAGAACAAGTCCTCAAAGCTGGGTGATGAGGCTATGCGGCCAAATTTACATATGGCAGTCACTTATATTCTGTCTTTCTTCCCATAGTTGCAGGGCAACATATACAAAACTGGTCCATTTTATAGCAAAATCTGAGAAAAAAGCTGTACTCATAGACCATGAATGTTCTGAGGTTATTTGGTGAATTGACCACCTATTGAGCCCAAGCATCTCTAATTCAGTTACAATATCCTTCAGTGTTGTTGGACTGAGCTTGCTAATGAGCCCAAAATAATATAGGAGACGTCACATACAGATGTCACATGCAACTCCTAGAACGATTCCATCAACGTTGCCTCCAAAAAATCTTACAAATCTCTTGGGAAGACAAGCAGGCAAATGTCAGCATGCTGGAAGAAGCAAAGACCACCAGCACTAAAGTGATGGTCCTCCGCCATCAACTCTGTTGGACTGGCCACGTTGTCCGGATGTCCGACCACCAAAGCAATTGCTCTACTTCAAACTCAAGAATGGAAAATGTAATGTTGGTGGGCAGAAAAAGAGATTTAAAGATGGGCTCAAAGCCAACTTTAAAAACTCTGGCATAGACACTGAGAACTGGGGAACCCTGGCCCTTGAAAGCTCCAGCTGGAGGTCACCTGTGACCAGCAGTGATATAGAATTTGAAGAGGCATGAATGGAGGGTGAAAGAAAGAAACATGCCAAGAGGAAGGTGCGCCAAGCCAACCCCGACCGGGACCGCCTTCCATCTGGAAACCAATGCCCTCACTACAGGAGAACATGCAGATCAAAAATAGGGCTCCACAGTCACCTACAGACCCACCGCCAGTACACCAATCTTGGAGGACAATCCTACTTGGACAACGAGGGATCGCCTAAGTAAGTAAGGAGACTTATGCTATAGTTTCCCTTGAGATAGGAAACATACACTCCTAGAAAGTACCTTCTTACTCACCGAGGGGGACAGATCCAGTCCAGGACTGAATAGAGATGACATCACTCCACTCGAGCTGCTATCTACAAGGAAACAATTTCATTTACAGCTGAGGACCCTTAAAATTCAGTCATCCTTACAAAGAGACTATTGTTAGTTCTCAGGATATCCCCACTAACTGGAAGGCTTTTAGCTTCCCTAACCATCATGAACCTGCAAAGTTCCATCATCACAACTTCCATCACAACAGCAGGTTCTTTGTGGGTGGATTAGACAAGGAGTCATTTGATATATTCAGGCTGACTCTTTTTCATATGCTGACTTGTTTTTAAAAGGTTTTGAGCACATACAATTTTATTTGGTAATTGGTAGGTTAAAGGGGAATCAAAATTGCTTTTTAAAAATTTTGGTATACATATGTCTGATGGGAACAGCTAGAAGACTAGATTTCTATTCCTTCTAAGAGGCTAAAGTTCTTGTGACAGCTGGGAATTGGCATACAGAGATAGGATAACCAAAGTCGCATTGTGAGTCTTTTCTTCTCCTTTCTAAGCTATTTTCCCAATGGAGGGGTAGGAATTGTGACTCTTGTTTCCACAGGGGTTTGTTTTGGGCATCCTCAGGTCTCAGGTTGGCAGCACGCATGTTGTCGTTGATGGTGTCCATCCATCTTTTCTTTGGCAATCCACGTGGTCATTGTCCTGCAATCTCCAAATGTAGTGCTGTTTGTACTACTGATGTTGGTTCTCTTCTCATGACATGGCCGTACTACGTAGTCTTGCTTCCTGCATTTTCTTGCTGATCACTTTTATTCCTAGTCTTTGACGGATATCATCATTTGGCACATAGTCAGGAAGTGCCCAGCCAAGTGTCCATCTCAAGTCAAGTCAAGTCAACTTTATTTATACCCCATCCCATCTCCCCTTGGGGACTTGGGGTGATTTACAACATAAATGGCAACCATTCGATGGCTTACAATACACAGTAAAAATAAAAATACATAATAAATTAAATGCAGATAATTAAAACAATTATCGTAATTATGAGAGCAAATTAAATAAACACACATGACAACAGCAATTAAACACCCAATTGGTAGATTAAAATCAATAACCATCATTTTCTGTGGTCGCACCTTCCCTCTGGAACTCCCTCCCTAAAGAAATTAGAACAGCCCCTTCTCTCCTTTAAGAAATAACTAAAAACTTACTTTTGCACACTAGCATACGGAGTGGAAGATGAGTAGTTTAACTTTTGATTTTACCTCATCCCTGGACATTCCTATATGCAGATGACACAGCACTCAGCCACCAAAAACGTGCACACCTCCAACAACTGCAGACATGGAGTGATAGTCTCAGTGAAAATGGACTTCAACTGAACTTTGTGATAATTTCATATTACCAAATTATCACATGATAATTGCACTTTAAGTGTCATAGTTTCATCCCATGGAATCCTTGAGTTTATAGTTTAGGGACTGATATTTAAAACCTTCCATCATATGACTCTAGTGCCTCATCAAGCTACCAATCTCAGGATTCTACAAGATTCAGCCATGGCAATTAAAGTGGAATCACGGTGTTATAATTAGATAATGTGAAGGGGGCAGTGTATACACTGTTACCGAAATCTAGAAGTTCCCAGATATAAAATTCTGCCTGCCCACAACAGCTAACGTTACAATTAAGACAACGTTACTCCTACAAAAGGGTTAAGATCATTTCTAAGTCTCACTGCCTTGATGTTGGGTTTATTTCATTGGCTTCCTTTGGCTGAAACAAGTACCTGAAGATGGTGATGATTCCTTCTTGGAGATGTTGTCTTCAGAGCTACCAGCAAACCACCAGAACTGTGAAGATGGATCACTAGATGCCCTGCGTTCTTTACGTTTAGTGGGCTTCCCATAACGGAATCGCTCAATGTACCTACCCAGAGAAAGGAAATCCGGAATCATCTACACAGGCACTAATCCACAGAAGTTAAAGTGACAGTCCATGACTACTACTGATCTAGGAACTACTGGCTGCTGGTACATGGCAGATTTTCAGGAATAAGGAGAGAAAGAGAGTTGTTGCCAATAGGAACAAATATGTAGTTGGTCCCAAAAGAACATTTATCTACAGCAGAGGTTCTCAAATCTTTTTAGTCCTGGAGCCCTTTTTAAAGCAAAAGTTTCTTGTTGAACCCCAAGAAATGTTTATATATTATAATGCATATTATATTATATATAATGTATATATATCAGGCGTGGGCAAACTTTATGACACATTGTGTTTTAAACTTTGATAGACAGGCCAGGCCAGATGGATGGAGAGTGTTCGTGTGAACTGGGGGAAAAAAATTAACAAATTCCTATGCAAACTACGCATATCTCGTTTGTAGTGCAAAAAAAAGAAAAAGAAAAAAAAGAATGTACAACACACTATTTAAAATGAAGAATAATTTTAACCAACATAAACTTATCAGTATTTCAGTGGAAGACCCCAGGGGCCATCCAGTCCAACCCCCTTTTGCCAAGCAAGAAAAGCACAATCAAAGCACTCCCAACAGATGGCCACCCAGCCTTTGTAATACTAATAATAATAATAATAATAATAATAATATTTTTTTGTTGTGTCAGGAGTGACTTAAGTAACTGCAAGTCACTTCTGGTGTGAGAGAATTGGCCGTCTGCAAGGACGTTGCCCAGGGGACGCCCGGATGTTTTGATGTTTTACCATCCTTGTGGGAGGCTTCTCTCATGTCCCTGCATGAGGAGCTGGAGCTGATAGAGGGAGCTCATCCGTGCTCTCCCCGGATTTGAACCTGCAACCTGTTGGTCTTCAGTCCTGCCAGCACAGAGGTTTATCAAAAATCCCAGGGGACATCCAGTTCAACTCCTTTCTGCCATGCAGGAAAAACACAATCAAAGCACCCCTGAGCAGTGGGAGGGAAATAGGGTTTCAGGAGAAAGGAAGGATCTGTGCAGTGAGGAAGGTAAGGAAAAAAAGGCTCTTGGCAGCAAGGGAAGTGAAGAAAAAAGCCTTTGAAGGCAAGTTAGGCAGGGGAAAATGCTTTTGGCAGGAAGGAAAGCAAGGAAAAAAAAGATTTTGGCAGTAAGGGAGGCAGAAAAAAAGGCTTTTGGTGACAAGGGAGATGGAGGAGCTGATAAAAGAGAAAACTTGGAAGAGGGGGAGGAGGAGAAGGGAAGCATGGAGTCCCTCAGTATGCTCCGTGGAGCCCCAGGGGCTCCATGGAGCACACTTTAAAAATCACTGATCTACAGCAAGTAACAGCTGTCACTAAAATATGGGCTAATAACAAAGTAGTCTGTTGTAAGCACACAAAGGACAGCAAAACTTAAACATGGAATTTATTCAGGGGTGGGATTCCAAGGCCTCCACACGAGTAAAGGCCTCCACATGAGTATAGTCACACTCCTGAAATGGCTAAGAGGCTCACCTGGCAATAACTGATTCACTATCTGAGATAGGCTCCTGGAGCTTCAGTGGGGACAGGGCCTTGGTCCCCACCACCTGCTCCAAGGGACGGGCCTTTACTCCCTCAGGAGTCAGGGAGGAAGAGCTGCGTTCAGTCGAGGGCCATGACTCATTGAAGGGGCTCATAGAATCTGAGTTAGATTGTTTTGTTTCTTGATAGCTGATGTCTGGCATGAAACTCAGGTGTAGAGGGCTCAGTGTTTCTACTTTCTTAGGAGAGGTGGGGCAATTCTTGTTCTGCAAACGGGATGGGCTCAGAACCTGGGCACAGAGAGGAGTTTGAAGAATCAGTGATCAAGAGCAGCTAACATTACAGCAAAGCTTCAGAAGCATTCAAATCCAAATGTGATACTGTCACATATTCCCAAAGTTCAATCCAGTGAGACATAATTATATTTTTATCTTATCCTTCCTATTTGAAAACTAATTTGTATTCAGAAGTAAATAATAATAATAATAATAATAATAATAATAATAATAATACAAAAAAGCAGATTTTCATGATATATATCACTAAAACTAAGCAGCTATCTGACTAACCACTATGGCATCTTAAAAACCTAGATGATAATGATGATGATGATGATGATGGATTACAGCATTTACAAACATAGACAAACATTCAATGCCTATTACAATCATATACAATGAGACACACAAACACAAACATAGGCAGAGGCTTCTCCTTTCATTTCCGGCTTCTGGAGGCAGTGCTCATCTCTGGCTCTGAGGAGGTGCTTTTCTCCATTTTTAAGCCAAGCAGCCTGCGTTGTCACTTCCTGGTTGTGTAGCTGGCAAGATTGCTAGGAGCCGTCATTTGCCTTTTTCTTGCATGGGATAAATGCTTCATTCCATTTCTATGCACAGACAATTCTCACTGTAGTCTATATTGTAGTAATCTTCTATGTTTTCTTTCTAGTTGATCATCCAGCATTCCCAAAAAATAATCTCTGGTTTCATAATAATTTTAACATTACAATTTCTCTCAACATCATACATATTTTAATCCAGTATTTCTGGGCCTTTTTGCAAGACCAAGTTTTGGTAAAATGTCCCAACATTTTCTCACATTTCCAACATTTGCTAGAACTGACTTTATACATCTCAGAAAGTCTCTCTGACATCAAGTACCATGTATACATAATTTTATTTTGTTTTTCAAATCATTACTTAAAGCAAACTTCAAATTCTTTGTTCAAATCTTCTCCCATTGTTGCAACTGAATGTATGTACCTATATTTTGAATTCATTTAACCATACAATCTTTCACTTGGTCTTCCTCCATTCCATATTCAAAAAACTTATACATTTTTGCAATCAATCATCCCCTCGAGTACAATAGATTTTCAAACTCAGATTTAAGTGTTACAAATCCAAATAAGTTTTTATCCATATTACACCGCTCAGTGATTTGTCTATGGGCAAACTATTGTATTGAGAAACCTTTCATCATTAACTCAGCTCTTGCCTTTAACCTGTATTGGTCATCACCTAGTGTCTATGTAAATCAACCATTTTCCTTCCAAAGAAATGTCACTTGTAAACAAAGCATACGGAAAGCACCACAATGGTATCTTTGAATAAATCAATTATTTTATTTATTCCACACTTGCAATAATGATGGCATTATGCCTAGCCCCCCACTCATCACTATCCTGCAAAGGACACTAAGTTGAAAGAAAATGACTAACGTAAGCCGAATTTCACTGCTGAGTACACTAAATTTGGGCCACCTAGCTCAAAATCTAATATTCTAATCATAGTATTGTATCATCTATTCCCATATCTAACCAAACTCATACAGCCCACCAGCATTTTCTATTCTTGCCCAAGAACAAAAAAAAAAGCCCCCACATTTTTGAGCTATTCAGAATATGGATATTATGGTTCTGCCACATTTGCCTATTCTATTATTGCTGAAGCATTTTATTTGCCTGCCTCACTTCCCACTTTCCATCTCACCGTGTGTCGTTGCTCCTCCTTCAGAGGCTGTGTCTGGGATGGGTGGTAATGACTCGGGGAACTGGGTGACTCCAAGAAGGGACTTCCTAGTGTGGAGAATACAGCTAAACTGTGGGCAGACAAAGTAGTCTTATTAATAAACCCATCCTTCAGCAGCAGAAACAAAGCACGAGATCCCAAGCTTACTAAGGGCCTCATCACACTAGAGAAAAAAATCACTTAAAATCCGGTTTCTGCCTCCTGCAGAATTCTGGGGTTTGTAGCCTCATTAAACTACAAACACCAGAATTCTACAGGAGGCAGAAACCAGATTTTAATTGGATTTTTATTCTAGTGTGATGAAATAGAAAGAAGAGTGGATACTTTTGCTTTATTTCTGGACCCTGAGTACCCAAGTCTGTAACATACACATGTTTAAATACATTATAGAGAAAGAAGTTATTAACATGTTATAGTAATGGTATTTTGGATTGTGCTGCTAAAAACTTTGGTGAGAATTAGAAGTTTTGAATGGTTCACCTTATAGGGAAGTGCCCTGTCAAAGGGAAAGGAAAATAAGGGAAGGGTAGATCGACGTAATGGGGCCCAAACGGAACAGAATATCAGTTTCACAATGCAGAACTATGTGTTAGTATTGAATATCCCTTTAATGGAGCATGGCCTACTTGGGACTCAGTATATATAGTCAACATCTATCTAAGGCAGATCTTGAACTGCACAAATTCAACACTGATAGCTGTTAGGACCCTGATGGAGACTTTGGACTTCACAAGGGTGTCCCTGTTTTAAGAACCCCTTTTTAAGAATGATTCCCCTAATAAAAAAAACAAATAAAACCAACCAGTGACAAAGCCCTTTCAAGCATATAATAAACTACAAAGAGAATCATTCCAAGAAGCTCTCTATCTGATGTTCTGGATTAAAACATGCCAGACATTTTTAAGCACTTGGAAACATTCAAAATATATGACCCTTCTCATTTGAATTCCACCATCTTTCTCTGCAAAGTATACGTAATATTATAGATAAGACCACAGTTCATCCAACTCTGTGTATGTCCACATCCAATATGCATCTCTTTTAACAATATAAAATCAGGTCTGATCCGCTTCCTCGTCTCCCTATGGGATATCTTTCTTGGATCTGCCAATTTGGAAGCTGCTCTGAGTCCCCTTCGGGGTGAGATAAGGCGGGATAAAATACAGTAAATAGTAAATAAGTAAATAGAAAAACACACACCAGCTCTCATACTTGGAATCCATTGTCCCCCATTAGCACGTTCAGCTTTGCAGGCAGTCTCTGCCTGCTTTCCTCTTAAGGCAGTGGTAGTTCGCACGAAGTCTATGATCTAAAGAAAAAGAACATCACTGAGTAATCTTATCCTGCATAATTGATCTGGCTGTCAAGAGCCTCCCATTCAAATCCATAGGTATTTCTGGTAAAGCTGATTTAGCAGGAGATGGTAAAGATAGAAGGAAAGAGCTGGAAAATAAAAGAGGACAAATAGTATGTTTGAGATGCTTGATGTGTAGGAAAAGGCTTCTATCAGAGCTACTGATACACCGAACATGGGGTTCAATCTATCAATACTTTTTAAAATCTGAGTAGAGCTTTGAAAGTATAGCTTAGAATGGGTGACAACTGGCCTGATCTCTAGTTCCAAAGATGACTATAATCAAGGCAACTTGCACACTGTTATTTCTCATTGGACAGAGACTTCTAAAGGTGGTCACTGAGCTACTAGATAGTGGGTGGAATCCATATTTCAAACATTCCAATGTTTACATCCGTCTGCAAGTTCTCTGCCCCAGGAAGAAATACAAGGCATGTCTGCTAGAATCTTTCCCCATATTCTCTCAAACCACCCACGACAACCTAAAAATTTGTCCTCAACTGTAGATATAAAAACAAAACGCCATAACATAGGTCAAAACTATTATCTGTTAATTCCACAGCTAAAGTAACAGAATCGGAGTTGGAAGGGGCTTTGTGGACCATCTAGTCCAGGGGTCCTCAAACTAAGGCCCGAGGGCCAGATGCGGCCCTCCAAGGTCATTTACCCAGTCCTCAATGTCAACCTAAATCTGAAACGACTGGAAAGCACACAACAATAATCCTATCTCATCAACCAAAAGCTGGCCCTCACTTCCCATTGAAATACTAAGTTTATATTTGTTAAATTTGTTCTTCATTTTAATTATTGCATTGTTTTAAGTGTTTTTTGCACTACAAATAAGATATGTGCAGTGTGCATAGGAATTCATTCATGCTTTTTTCAAATTATAATCCGGCCCTCCAACAGTTTGATGGACTGTGACCTGGCCCTCTGTTTAAAATATTTGAGGACCCCTGATCTAGTCCAACTCTCTGTTGATTGTGGGATCTCCAGCTAAAGCTGCCCAGCCTCTTTTTGAAGATGTCCAGAGAAGGAGACCAACCATCCTCAGATAGATTGAGAGCTTCTGATCCTCATCCAAGATCATGGTTGCACTGAGAACACTAGAATCATACTATTATCTATCATTCCTTACATATTTCTCTCCTACACAAAAACAGGAGGCAGTTTCTCATTTGCAATGGCTTCGTGATAACTGAAGACAACTGATTCAGTCAAGATGGACACAAAAACCCAAGCGGTATTTTATGATCACCTTACCTCAGTGTAGCTCATGCCCTCATCTTTTTGTATTTTCCCAACTCAGGGAGGTATGTTTTCTACTGCTACTCTATATGGTATGCAATTAAGCACAGTGTGCAAGGAGAGCCATAATAATTGCAAGAGGTAGCAAGTATGTCCCAGGCCACAGCCACAGCATACAGGAAATAGCAATCTTGCTAACAGTAAGTAGTTCTAGGTTGGACAAGTATCTGAATAACATACTATTTAAGTATCCCTGAGAAGCCACCTAGGATCCTGTCTTGGGAGAATGACAAAAGGTACATTTAATAAATAACTAAGGACATTCTGGTTCCATTTTATTTATTTATTTTTATTCCACCTTTCTCCCAAAATGGGGTTGTGATTTTAGCTCCACAAGAACTGAAGGTTTGGGAGCCTGGTGTATCTAGCTTCTCAGAAGGCCAAATGAGACACAGATAGGTAGAAGGCAAAATCAGAGGTTTATTCTCAACGGTCAAAGAAGATGTCAGTGAAGAAAGCACTCCAAAGAACTAGCATACCACAATTGCAAACACAGAGCATATTTATTTCATTTGACAGCTATTCAAGATACCCGCACTAGCTCCTGATTGGTTCAGAAACTGTATGGCTAGGGTCCGTTTCATAATTGGTCTGGGATTCCTTCAGACATCATGGCTGGTTGGTTCTCGTTGTGGTAGGAAACTCAAATAAACTGTCAATAGATTATTTTGAAGAGTCTATCCATTTATTGATCCACCTGTGAGGGGCATGATCAGAAAGGAATGCAGTTTTACAATGAATAAAGCTTTTAATGTCCTGGCTATGATGTACACAATTATTTAGTCCAGAAGAAACTGATGTTTTAGAGTGATGATCCTCTCAATGGGTACAGCAAAGGATGGATCTGGCTTGGAGCATGGAAGAGGAAATGTTCCCAGGTCATATTAGGTAAAATCAGGAAAGAGGACCCCGAGCTGTGATGCAAGTTCATTGTGTGTTTTCCCCATGTCTCCCACTTCGTTGTGAGAGGGATAGGATAATTTAAGGGAATGTTTCCTGGAAGTCCAGGGTGTGTTATGCAACATTCCAAAGCAATTAATGGGGGTCATTGAAGGACAAAGCTCACTTAATGTCTCAATGAAACTGCGTCTCATAATTCAAATAATTTATAGTAATTCTCAAGATCATGGGATTCACTACATACAATTTGTGGTTTGCACAAACTCTCAATTTCTTCACAACTGCAGGGGCGGATACTTTTATCTGCCAAAATGACAACAACCACAACATCCCAAGGTGTAAAGTTTTCTCTTTCTGTCTTAAAAAAGCCAAATATTGTAAGAATGGGATAAGACTATCCCCTCACATAGCCTGGGACTTTACAGTGTGTAACCTATAGAGTTAACCCAGCCCAAGAAATTATTCAGTTCCTGTTCATCCATTATTACTGAAACAATTCTGAAAGGTGACAAGAATCCAGGCTTGGCAAGTGTTGTAGAGGAATTTCCAGGTTTGCTGTAGTTCAGAGCATGGGATTCTCTCCTGCATGCAATTTAGTGGAAATTTCCATGGCATTTGTTTTTTCAGTAGACAGTTGCCAAGGTAACCATTTTGTTCACTTTTTTTACCCCGTGAAAGCATCCCATTCACCAACCCTACTATACTATGGAGAAATGAACACAGCATGCATTCCTCTATCTGGGAGAAAATGTTAAGACTCCAAAAATGTCTGATCAAAGGTTGAAAAATTCCTGTTCTAGAATCTCTCTGTGCAGTTCTCACAGCCTGGCCCTTCTACTAGTAGTGTATTCAAAGTGAAACAAGTAAATAGGCTTAGTTGGTCTAGGCTGAAATAACCTGAAGGGATATTCTCAAAGGTACAGTTCTGCAAATCAGAATCCCATTAAAGGAGAAAACCCAGCTTTCAAGGTTTCAAGCAATCATACATTTATCGCAAAATGGAATCATGCTAAATAAGTTTTAACTTATTTAGCCCTGCACATTAGATGCAGCTGCACTGCTGGCTGGTCAGAGCTTAGGTTTTATAATGCAAGTAACTCAGGTTCTATAATTCAAGTCCCTTCTTAGTAGGGTCAACAGCTCCTGGCAGATTGTACAGGAATGGCTCCTTGCTACAACAACAGTTTCATAGTTTCATAGCTGTTCTGCTGACTGCTGCAACAATTTAACAGGTTGCTACTTGTAGCCTACATGTCAGATCTCATTGCCCAAGAAGCTGATAAAACGAGCTGTTCCCCAGGGTCCCCTGGCTAGCAGATAGAGCTGTGCAGGTTTTGCTAGTGCTAGATTCCTCTTCTTGGCACTGCCGTACATCTATCTTTAAAGCTATATCCTGCCTTACATACTGCTGGGGGGAGGGCAAAATAACTTCTCATCATACACAATTGTTGTGTGGCTTCTCTGTGCTTGTTGGGCAAGGAAGGAAAAACTAGCACTAAGTTGCTTCTGTGTTTTAGATCTCCCTCCCAAATCAGGAAGATATAAGCAGCATCCATTTAGAAATCATCAGAAGTACTTTTCTGGATTACAGCAAGGACCATGTTCCCTGCTTCTCAGAAAAGAGGAGTACAGTAGAGACTTGCTTATCCAACCTTCGCTCATCCAACATTCTGTATTATCCAACACAGTCTGCTTCCCACTCGGATCCACAGCTGTTTCAATAAATTGTGATGTTTTGGTGTTAAATTTGTAATTACAGTAATTACTACATAACATTATTGTGTATTTCTCTGTTTAGCTCTTCTCTTTGTTCTTCTGATATCCTTTGAATATTATCCGGTCCCAAATATTGTGAAATATTTTCTTTTTTTATATTTTTTTAAAAGTCTACTTAAGCCTGAGCCTGCAAAAGCTTACGCTACCGGTTTCAAAAATGCCACAAGATCTCTTTGCATACCAATCCAGACCAGCAAGACCATGTCATTGAATTCTATAAGTAATGATGGTTCATGACACTTGAGTGCTACAGCTAGTTAAAAATAAATCAAGCAAGAATATTGTCTATTAAAACCATTTTGCACTACACTAGCAGCAGATGGCACACAAAGAGACAAGGTAATTCAGGAATTATTTCCATTAGCTTTGTTCATCACATTATCAAGCATTTTGAACTATAAATGTACCTGTACAAGCTGACTTGATGTACTTTGTAGTATGGGAGGTTTATGTAGCAGAGACAGCGCAAAAGAGCTCATAAGCTATCCTAAAGTTTCTCAAGACGGGAGGAGGCCACTTCATACCAGCAGCACTTAAGCTCTTTGAGGCAAAATCCATAGCACAAATGATGTATGGAGCCCAACTCGGCCCCTTTTCAAACTATGCCCCTCTGGAGCAGGTACAATCAAAATTTCTAAGATCGGCGATGCAGGTCCCCAGATGTGTCTCAAATGCCAACCTGCAACTAGAGACAGGCCTTGTGAGAGTGGAGATGAGAGTGTGGACAGCCACCCTCAATTATTGGCTGCATCTGTCTTTCTTAACATGTGGCCTTGCCCCGTTAACTCTGAGAAATGAATTTCAGTCTACATGGAATAAGGTCGTGGCAACCAAAATCGCACCTCTAGGCTTCTCTCAAGGACAACTGCTAAGTATGGGATGGGACCAAGCTAATGATCTTATCAGACAACGGATACTGGCTATAGAGCGACAATCAGACTTAGCCTGCTCTCCAGCATACAACATTAGCG